CACAGCCTACAATAAGAACAGCCTAGTCATTTGCTCTAAAAACGTGTGTCGATGCCTGAGGCGGTTTGCACATTTTGTTCACTAGGAGCGCTGATGACCGGACTATTCAATCAAGTGATCAATACTAATACTATTGCAAAGATGTGCTTGTTATGATAGTATTTTCGAAATTTTAAATTTTTAAAATCTATATATCCAGATATTGTTCAGTTTTAAAAAATTCGTTTTAAAATGGTTCATTGCTCTGCGATTTTGTACATCAAATAAATCGAAAAAAGATGAAATAGTAAATCTTTATCACAGAAAATAATAAAAGTGGCACCTCTATAAATTTTTGTATTATTTTGATAATTACTGTATATGCTATATTTAAAGAAGAAGACTAAATATAATAGATTAATTTTGGTAATACAAATTTGAATTGATTTTATATGTTAATTCATTAGGAACCAAGAGATAAATATCAGCTTATATTTTAATAAATATATAATTCAGTTGTACAAGTGATGTTTTATGCCAACATAGGAAGCTTTAAAAAGTGTGAGAATTTTTTAAAAGTTATTTAGTTTATTATATTTAAAAACAGTCATGGCTACAAGTGGATCAAAATATTTCATGATGCACCAGTTATGGCCAAAGGGGTGGCCAAAAATGATGTACTAGTTTTGGCCACCATGTGGATTCTTTCCATATGCATTATTAGGGCATTATACTTATATTAGGATTGTACTTTTTTCCAGTCAAATAAAAATAAATAGTTTTATAAGTAAGCTATACAACAATTTGCTGTGGCAGTAATATTTTTTCTATAAGTTAAGTCTGCTATGGATAAAATAATATCGATAATATAAAATAGACTTGATGAATATAAAACTACAAAATATTTTTTCTTGGTCATTTCACTAGTTTAAAAGCTAGAATAATATTCAGAGGTTATTGACTATATATTATTCTTTATGTCAATTATATCAAAAAATATTCTCAAAAAATAGTTTTAATAGTTTTACTTGCATTAGCCACAATTGGTACAGGCATGATTAAAACTGGTGATTTTTGTAATATTTAAAAAAATTTTAATTTTGTTTATAAAATGTTAAAATTAATAAAAATAAATGTAATAAGGTAAAAGAGAACATGTTTTTGCATTATTTTTACTATGTTTCATTGCTTTAAAAAATTTTAAGAATATAAAAATATTTTTTTAAATTGAAAATTGTCTTAATGTGACCAGAAAAAGGTACAGTACATCTACCCTATTAATTATTATTTCATTTAACCGTTTAGATAATTATTGATAATATGTCTATTGTTTTAGATAGATCTGCAGAAATCCGGGCAAAATCTTAATTTAAAAAAAAATCAATAATTTGCTATATCCTAAGTTTGAATTACTGTTTTGTTTTACGAATATATGATAGCATGTAGCTAGGATAACTTAATCAGTGTGTGTTGTTATGGTCCGTTGTGTGGCTCCATCTTGCGAGAGAAAATATTTTCGTTTGGACACAACACTACAATGGGATTTCCCCCATTTGACTAGGCTGTTCTTATTGTAGGCTGTGGTTGTGGGTTTATTCCAAATTCAAAGAGTCTTTTTTTAAGCAAATCGTTTGTTTGTTAAATTGTGGCAACGCAATACGTGGGCGATCTGCCCTGGGGATGTCTTCTGGGAGATCTTTTTAAGGGAAACTGGCCCCTATTTAGGCATTACAGACGTGGAGAAAACCCGGAAAACTCCATGTGGCCAGCCCGTTGGTGAGAAGGGGGACTCAGCCTCAGTCTCCTGGAGTTTTCCGGAACCACTTTTTTAAACTTTTTTCGCCCTGTGGGCACTAAGAAGGCCTCTTTTAGCAAGCCCATTATGGATTAGGCCAGGCACACAATGGAGCAGCCGGATGATGAGGGACTGGGACAAATATACTCGTTCGGACCATCTCGTTTTTATCCACTGTTACTTGTGGGCTATGTAAGAATTTCCTCTTCATTAAAGTAATTAGAATCCCGAATTAGACGACACAGTTCCGATTTTTAAACTGTTTGAAAAATGTTCCAGTTTTAAACTGTTTTATAATTATATTCAAAAATAGCGAAATTTTGTAACGATTTGCTTTCTGTTGATTCTTTGTTAATACAGTAAACTCCCCTATAAAACGGGTTCATATCATATGGATTCGTATATAACGGCGGAAAAATTGCGACCGTATTCGTATAAACACGCTAAAAGAGACTCGTATAATACGGTAAAACGTCATCGCCGACTCGTGTCGCGACAGGATTGGTCGAATCTAGACCAATAGCGGATATTGCACAAACCGTTGAGTTTAAACGAGCAGCGGACCTACTAAAAACCATTTATTATTTAACGGCCATAAAAAATTATATTTATATTAATGATGTCTCCAAAGTTCAGCAAATTTTTCGCAGAAAAATAATTTATCAGAAAATGCGCTCCCCGTTCGATGCGGCGCTCCACGACGAAAACAAGCTTAAGCAATGGCGTTGACGAACGGCACACACTCGGTAAGTAATCTTACAATTTTTTGTTTATAGCATAGTTTATATGGATTATTCGCAAAAAATTATACGTATTTTGGAAATGTTGAGTCAAATTAATCTAGAATCGATTAATTTTATGGAAGAAAACCTTTCAAACAGCCGTAGTCCGTAAACTGCATAAGTGCCGGGCTGTGATTGGCTGGACTCATAGAAAATGGATTCATAAAAACCGGAACGTATCTACCGTGTTATAGAGGGTGTCGACTGTATTAATTTGTATAATAATATATGTTAAATAACACAAACATATACACACAGAAATGTAAAGTTCATTTTTTGTGACGAAGGTCCTGGCTTTTCTGAAATTCTTGTTCTTTTGCGATAAAATCGTGAAGTTTCACTTGTCGCTTTTTTTCTTTCCTTAAGCAAATGTTGATAGCAGAAGATCGCATCCATAAAGCCTCGTTTTGCTTTTGCACTCCTTTCAACGATTTCGGTTATCTTACCATGCTTTTAATAAGGAAATCTGTAGAGAAATATTTTGGGTTCTTCGTTTTCAGAATCTCTATTTTCCAGTTCCACACGAATTCCATGCTGTGCCAATTGTTGAAGGTCGTCGTTGGTAAGGCTCTTACCAGAAACCTGCTGTAACTCCTCAATATCCTGCTCTTCTATATATCCTAGTCCTGCTATATCGATTAGGTTGAGTTTGGTCAACCGGTCAAATTTACCTTAGGTAGCCAAAATGGCGGCGCTTTCGTTTCGTTTCCGTTAGATTAGCTACATTTTTAGTAGACGTTTCCTTATTTATTTATTTATTTATTTTGTTCAAGAACTACAATGAATCAATAGCTAGTAGCGTTTGGCACTCGGTGGCCTGCCGGCGGCTCCCCTCCGGGAGGAGTCTGTCTGGACCACGAACAGTTGGAGCGTGGCCATGTTGGCTACCTAAGGTAAATCTAACCGGTCAACCTAACATTAAAGCGATAGGCTCTTCTCGTTGAGAATTCTTGTATACATTAAGCCATAACTTCTTCCACATTTCGTTTGTGCATTTATCAGTCAATTCTTGCCAAGCGAAGTCGATATTTCTTATGGCTTCGATGATCTTATATTTTTCCATAATTATACCAAACAGATTTAAAGAAAGTATATTTTTTGCCACCTTCTGCTGATTGGTTTGTGTTCGCAAATAATCGTATTATATACGAATCAATGAAATGCCGCGATAATTTAAATCGGCGTAAATTTTGAGCTTTTTTTTAGGCTTCGAGCAGACCGCGTTATATCGAATCAGCGTTAATTAAGCGAGGCAACGTTAAGCGGAGTCTTACTGTAGATGACTTTCCTTTTCAGGACAGTTTCCTTCCTACTGTCCTCGTTAGACAATTTCACCACGATTGGGTTACGCATCAAGATCTGAGCCCGATTATTGCTACGGATGGTTCGAAAGACGATACCCCAGTCACGGCGGCTTACATCGATTCTGCTCTTCACATGAAGGTTTACTTTACCCTCCACCCTGAAGCGACCATCTTTACGGTACGCTATTTTGCATGCCATCAAACGCTACCGAGCACAGAGAAGACATTATTGTTCGTGCGGATTCAAAGTCACTCAACAATGCGTTGCAGGCATACCATGGTAATTCTGTCTCTATCACGCATCACATCATCCGTCATATTCATCAGCGAAACACAAACATCTTACGGACCCGGTTCATATGGACCCCAGCAAATAGAGGTATACCGATCAATGAGCTAGCAGACAAATCGGCGAAAAACCGGCTCTGTACCAATTACATAAACCCAGAAGATTACATATCCGTCCCCAGGCCCGTTTCCAATAGAAAGTCTTACCAGGTGGCACCACTCTTGACAGATCATCCATGCGTTGAGTCACCCCATTCCATCAATCCAATCTAAAACATCTACAAATATAAATTTTATTCTGCAAGAGATCTTTTGTATACAGTCATCGACTTGTATAGCGAATAACACAGCATGACGGCAATTACCAAAACGGCAAGAGAATTGCCTACGATTATAGGAATAATTTCGTCTTTGACAAATTCCGTGGGGCAATCTCTATATTGCACCAAGCTGCAATTCTGTGCTGTAATGAAAAATAGACAGTTTTAAGAATAAAAATGCGAATTTTATAAATAAAAAAGATATGTATTTTACCTTCAGAAAATGTTCCATTTATGATACCATAAGGTTGGATTCTGGCATCGATTAACCTTAAAGTGGCAACTTTAACATTTTATCATCAAACAATGGAATTATTTCAGGTAAAAGACAATAGTAAGATTTTCCTATACGAGTTTCGAACCGATTGCTGTCATCCATGCTTTTAACTGTTTTCCTCCTCGCTTTAAAAGAATAAATACCCGAACATTAGATTTGATTTTAAAAAAAATCATCACTTATGTTTATTATACAGTCGAACTTCTGAACAACGACCCCTGACAAAAATGGCCTTTGTATGGAGATTGTTTTGTATGCACTTTTGTATGCAGTGGGTATATACGGTATATACAGTGGTTACCACTGTTTATAGGTGTTTGTTATTGGAGGTTCGACTGTATTTATAAATTTTTCATACAAATTTAGTTACTTACTATCGGTTGCATCGATAAATTGATGTCCAGCGGTAAATTTTCTTTTCTTTTTGTCAAAACTACTTTGTATAAAATCGGGATTTTTTACAGAAAAACACCATCGGATTCACTCGATTTATTAAACTAATATAAAATCTTATCGAAGTTCTCTTTCTATCATGAACGGATTTCTTTTAATTTAATATAATATTAAGGGTAAACGGCTATTAGAGAGCTTTTAACAACGTCTCGCCTGATTAATATCAATAATTCGCGTAAGTAAATTCGATTATCGACCTTAATTTGGAATAAATTATGTTTCGTTATCTTATTTATTTAGTCGAAAACCGTTTAATTAATTTGCTGGATTTTAATGCGTTAAAATCAAACGAAGTTCGGAAGAAGTAATAACGACTTTTGAGAGAAACTTTATCAATAAAGTACGAAGACAGACAAACAGACGGACAGTGGGAATTGTAGTGTAAAGTATATAAAGATTACTAGTAAAATTAAATTGTAATATTCATTAAAAAACGAAGGAGAAATTTAAGAATTCTTTTGTAGTTGTTGATGTAAAATTTCTTCTCGATTATTTGCAAAAGAATTCTTCAGATTAATTCAATTGTGCTTACTCAGAAACTATGTTTCTACTATTCCATTAAAGTATTAATTTTCAGAAAGTAAATCCTTTTAACAAAAGAGTGAACGACGGTGGAATAATAACAACGAAACCCGTTGAAAGATAGAAATTTTCTCGTTGCAACATCAATTAATTTAATTTCGTTCCCGTGTGAATAAAGATCTAAACATTTTGCATAAGTTTTCTAAAACTATAGACGAGTTATAAAACGAGTATATTAAATTTCTCTCTCTCGACTTTAACATCTTTATTTTACAACTTTTGTCTTTAAATACAACGTAACTTTATATAACAAATAGAATTTGAGCTGGCTTTTTTTTCGAACGATTATTTTTTAATTATAACGTTAACATTATATTGTGCGCAATTAAAAGCTTTCGTAACGCGTAATCACACGCAAGTGGTATCACGCGTAACGGCTTGTTCCGTGGGAACTGCTATCCACTTAGTCACCATCTTCGGCGTGAAGAGTTTTGCAAAGGTATCTCTGAACTGACGACTCATAGAGCAATAGAGGAAGAAATTGATGGCACTGTTAACAAGTGCCAGAAAGTCCATGATTTCTCCAAAATTCTGATAAACGTTATCGAAAAAATCTTTACCCAAAATACCGCTAAGAAGAGCCAAAATTCCTGATGGAAATTCTGTGACTAGAAAGAGTAACAAGACGGCCAACAACATTCGAGTGGTTCTATCGCACGATTTGTCGCATTCCGAACGATTCTTCAACCTCTGTCTTCTCAAATCCGCTTCGTACAGTACTCTAATCAATCCCAGACTCAAACCTGTTAATAACACGCAGGGCACTAACTTGGTCAGAACACTAAATATCCAAAAATTGACATTTTGGAGTAACTGTTGTCTTTTCTGAGCGATTCTACTAAATCCTATCTGGTATGTGACTTCTTGGTTCTCACGCACTTCGTGAATTTGGAAGGTCAAGTATACGGGTAGACAAAATATTGCGCAATAAACGTACGTCATAGTTATAGCTAGTTTGGCTCGATTCATATTGCACCATTTTACCACGTTAGCTGGGAATCTAACCGAGAGGAATCTCCAAATGGCCAAAGTGACGGTCAACCATATAGAGATGGTGTGACATACCACGGTGAAGTGGGCGTGAAACAAAGTAAAGGCGGCCCACCCGTACGAAAATTTATCTTCGTCCGCCTGGTCTACTCTGATGTAATTGTGAATGGCGAATGGTAAATAAGAAGACATGACACACATGTCGGCCACCGCCAATCCCGTCAAGATGGCATTGGTGGGAGAGATCATGTCTTTTCTGGTCAGAACGATGATGTTGAGGATGTTGGCGAAGATGCCGAACAGACATACTATAACGGAGATGTAGCCGTGCACCGAAGTGTATTTCTCTCTGAAGATGCTCAATTCTTTTCCGTAATAGGGACGTAACGGTTCCTCTTCCACGCGAAAGTCGATATTTGTAGAAACGTTAGAAAATGACCAATTTCCAGTCAAGTTACTCCAGAAGCTGGTCTGGTTGTCAAATTCCAACCGAAATTCTATCAGATAGTCGTTCATTCTCGAGTTTTTCAAGAAGAAATCTTTAATTCCGGAATAATTTAGATTTCTGGTGTTTTCTTCTACAAAACTGAACGATCGATCTTTTATTTCTCTTATTTACAGGTAAAAGAACGTAGAGAAATAAGTTCACTTCTCGAATTCATTCTGAAGTGATTTTCATACGTAGAAAATCTGAAAAGTATAATAAATTTCAATATACTTTAAATTGGAAATTTATTATTATTATTTATTTATTTTACGATAAATTACTTTTAATATAATATAAAACATTTTATATTTTTCAGGAAACAAATATAATTATAGCTTTTAATTCCCTAAATTTCGAATAACTCCTTTGAAATGTTATAGAATAAAAGTAGATATAATATATAAAGTATGCCTTTCTTTATTTTTAATTTTGCATGAGACACTTTGTATTCTATTGTAAAAGTAGAATAACATTTATAAGAGACTCCTTCTTAAAAATAGATGTCCTTCCTCTTAAGTATTCCGAACAGAAGGTCGTGTTTGCAAACAATAATCCTAAACATTGTCATTGTGCATGCTACCGAGTAGTTTAAAGTTTACAATTCTACTAAAAACATCTCTCTATTCTCCAAAATAATAAAGTTATCGACTACGTTAATTGTGTACATTTCAATCAATAATAATCAGTAAAATCTGATTACTTCAGACCTTTAGAACATGAATTATCGAAACAGAAAATACAGATGAAGGTACGAACAATGAGGAACGAGAAGAAAAGACGTGAAAATCGAATACAATTTTGAATTAAAAATGTTCAAAAATAAAAAAATAAAATAATTTCAATAGTTTGATTCTCTATTAAATAATTTAATTAACTAAAAGAAGAAAAATAAACAATACAAAGATGGCCTTTGGCGTGTAAAAGTCGACGTTGTTTGACTGCAATATCTTAGAGTAAATAAAGATTTATCTACATCGCTTTGATTTCGAGCATCTTATTATAAGGGCATAAATGTGGACGTTGATTAAAAATATAA